CAAAACCCAGTGGCATTGTCCTTGGCTTCTCAGCAGCCCTCATTGTCCGCCATATTCAGAGAGTCCGGTTTTATCCCATGCTTTTTCAGTCGCAGTCCAGCTGGCCTTGGTGAGCTCACAATAGATCAGCCCCACTGTCTCTTCTGGCTATGGAGCTTCATTCCTTGGTAAAGTCCACTTTTATAGTATTATCTTAAATCTTATTATGTAAATTGACCATAGGGTAAATTGACCATAGGTAAAAATACATGTTAAATTGACTTGAAAAAGCCCAAATGTGTGAGGGATTGAGCTCTTCATAATTGTCTTCTTCTGTGCAAATAACTGGATTCCAGTTTACTAAATGGATGTGCTAATGCTTTACTTTAATAGAGTAACTTCATGTATTTAAAAGAAACCCATTCTTTTTAACTACTTTAAACAGTTACCCTGGCTTCCCTTGTACACTACACTTCAAACTCTTAAAGAGCTATCCAGCCCTTAAAGTTTATCTGCATTAGCAAGTTTGCATTGTCTTGAAAACTGACTTCTTAACTTCATTTGAATGAATTATGGCTGAGAATATTAAAAAAATCTTTGTCTTCCTTAGGCATCTTGATAACTTGCAAGTTGTACAGTTCTGGTTCAATATCTTTTCTTTCCTCCAATTCCTGTCGCTGTTTCAAAATTAGGTGAACGGCTGGGTAACTCCTTTCATAAATCAAATAGCATTCTTCCTGTGGTTTCAATGGGGTAAGTCAAGCTTCGGAAACCAGCACGGATACTCAGAGTAACACTGCTCCAGGGACCCCAAGGAATGAAAGACTTGATGAAATTGGTCTCTATAAGTCACATCCCCACTCAGCATAATCGCAAGCTCTGCTGTGGTTGCAAACAATGAAACGCTTGAATCTTAAATCAGCCCTTCAATTACAGGAGCTGTCAGTCCTCCCCTTGGCGGGTTTTTTTTTTCTGTCCCTGCAAAATCCCAGTTGCTTTTGCTAGAGTTTTCAAATTCTTGCCCCCAAATTTCCCAGAGAACAGAAACTTCTTGTGAAACAGTGACTGTGGGCAAAAACTGAAAGAAGGGAAGATTTCCCTCAAAATATAATCAACTATTCCTTCCCTCCTAAGACTTTCTCCATAGAGATTCAAACATTCTAAAATCACTCCCATTTTTTTATAAAAAGACACATATATAGATCTTCATCTTGATTTCTATTTCCTAACCAAATTTCTAGAGTTATCTATATACACATATTACCGAGAATAGAATCCAGGATGTCTCATGCTTTAATGGGTTCTCTACCACTGAGCTGTGTACCAGCCCTTCTTTCGTTTTTCTTCATTAGGTAATTTTGGGTCCTTTTTCCATTGCTTTATTCAAACAACATTTGCTAAGATTATCAATAATATCAATGATAAATGCAAAGGACTTTTCTGGTTTTTTTTTTTTTTAACGCTTCACGAATTTGCACGTTATCCTTGTGCAGGGGCCGTGCTACTCTTCTCTGTATCGTTCCAATTTTAGTATATGTGCCTCTGAAGCGAGCACATGGACCTTCTGTCTTCATGTGCCACAGGATGTGTGCTGACTTTAGAGGACAATCTGAAGGAGTTGGTTCTCTCCCTCTACCACATAGTTCCCGAGAATGGAATGTCAGTCTTGGCAGTGAGAACCTTTACCCGCTGAGCCATTCTGTCTACCCCCCCCATTTTATTCTTTTGTTTTCCTGGCCTCTGGATCATATAGTCTGAGGCATTTTTGTGTTTTTTCCCTTCAGCTGCTTCTCTTTAATAATCTGTAGATAATTCTGGTGTACCAACCATTAAGTGCTGGCAATGAAATCCTGGGAATAAACTTTGAGAATCATCTCGGGACTCTCCACCTTCAGATCTGAATACTTGGCCTCTCCTTTAAAATTTCATCCACTTCCTATCTCAGATGGCATGGCCTCTTGCCAAGCAATCTCCATCCTTCCTATAATGACCTCAGCTAGTTTCCCCATGTGTTCTGTCCCCTTCTAAGATGTTCTCCACAAAGAAAGAAGTCCTTTAAATATGCAAAGGGGACTGTGCAACCCTGACATCTTTGCATCAGCTTTTCCAGGGTTGCTATGGCATGGTATTAAAGACCTCCAAAGGGCTCCCAAGGTCTAATCTGCATTCACTGCCTGCTGAATATGCACTCATTTATACTCATCAGATTCCAAAATTTAGCCTCTGACATCCACATGCATGCCACACTCAAGCATACTCACATCTCAAACACACTTAGACACACACACACACACACAAATACACAGTAAGTCAAAATAAAGTTGTAGGATCTCCTCTTGGTGCCTACAAAAAAGGGTCTCAATATACTCCTAAACAAATGAATGAAAATTATTAAAGGCATAGATGGGAAACTGGCAGAATTTGGCTCTGTTCTCTTCCTTGAAATCAGAAGGAAGTACGTGGAAAGCTCAGTAAAATAAGGTTCTACTCACTCAAGCACTCCTCCAAACTAATTCCAAAAAGATGTTCCAAAATTGTGTGAAGTTAATTATGAGAAGAAAAAAAGCAGGTCAAGATGTTCATGCCTTAAGATTGCTAGCTACCTTGGTTGTTTTTCTTAGGTCCCTGTCTAGAAGATCCTGATCTGACTCTATACCAAGGCTCTTGCATAGGATGAACCTTAGATGTTGACCCCACAGTATGTGTCTTCCCATCTAGACATTAACCCTCTCACCCAAATTTTTCTGATCTGGGAGTAAGCTTTTCCTAGATCTATTTCAATGACAGTAACACTGACCCTATACATAATTCCAGCTCATGACCATAGTGCATCTGTTTTGGGGTAGTACAGAGATGGCTGTCAAGGTTTGGGTTTGCACTAGGGGTTATCCACAGGCACATTCCGGTTCTCCTACAAGAGAGGACTGAGATCAAGGTAGATGCAAAGGGGTCAAGAGCTCCCATGTGTATCAGCTGAATGAAAGACAATAGAGCTAAAGCTGTACAGATGTCCAGCAGGTCATTAATTAGTTATTTATTCCTATAATAAAACTGATTTCTACCTCTCTCCATCTGCTCCAACATCAACCAGGACACTCTTCATGTCCCCTCCTGTCCTCAACATTTACAATGTGACTTATATCTCTCCCCCTCCCTTTCTCCCTTCCTCTCTCCCTCCCTCACTCTCTCACTGTCTCTGTTTCCCTCCCTCCATCTCTCTCTTTGCCTCTCTCTCTCTCTCTCTCTCTCTCTCTCTCTTTCTCTCTCTCTCTTTCTCTGTCTCTCTTGTTCTCTCTCTCTTCTGTATACAAAGTGTCTGGTAAGGTTTTGGAATCCTTCAGTCTTTGCGCTTGCTGGGACCCCTCTTTCTACAAAGCTATTTACCAACTTGTGTGGAACAACTCACACGCAGTCCATCCCCATGCTTTCCCTCTACTGTTCTCTTCCCCAGCTACAGCTGTGTCCTCTCAGTTTCCCAGAAGAGTGTCCAAATTTGGAGGCCCCACCTATCTATCTCATTAAGTCTCAATGAGATTGCTCAAAGAATATTTAACTGCTCTTTTCTCTGAATTTCCATGGCAGAAATGTCAAGCAATTTCACTTATGGGCCACACGATCAGAAATTAACTGTATGGGCCCCATTAATTTTTTATAACTGGGGCAAGAACTCGCCTTTTTAGCTATTCAGAAATATAGATTTAAAAGCAGTCTCAAGAAAAGTCAACTTTATTTAGACGTAAGTACTGACCTAGCCTTAGCATTAATCATTAATCACTTTTCTGTCAAGTGAATGAGCACTGGCATTTAGCAAATTGAACAATCTTTCCAAGTAACAAGATGTGTTCTGTCAAGATACAGTTGAATTCCAACTCCAGATTTTCCTCATTACATGATGCTTTTTCATTTCTTTTGCAATAGTCCCATTAAAGAAAAGGTCCTTTCACAGAGATGATCAGAAACATTGTCTAGAACCCATGACCTATCTAGCTACAGGTTTTTGACCTGAAAACACTGCCAGGGATGGGTTTCATCTTGTGGGGGTGGGACTTGGATCTGCTCAGAAAGTGGTTGGTTACTCCCCATTGTTCATGCCACTACTGCATCAGGAAGCATGTCTGGGCAGGTCAGTCATTACTGTAGCTCCCAGGGGTCACAGATGAGTGTTTGATGATGACTTTTCTCCTCTTTTTAGACATAAGCCCTGGAAGAGAACCTATTACTACTATTTTAATAAATGGGCATAGCATTAAACAGACTCCTAATGACTTATTCTCCCTATGGATGATTTCATCTATCAACCCTCACCTGAGCAACTTCTGTTGTAATAGATGGTGGTTAATACAGAGACCCACAACGTGCCAGGATGTACAGAATAAGACACTGCAAAGTGTTCAGTCCTAAATGAAACATATATGCCTCAGCTCCTGCTCCTAAGGCTAGGGATCATTGCAGAAGAGGAGGAGAAAGAATGCAAGCCAAAGGCAGTGAGAAACTACAAGGAATCAGTGTCTTTTACATACAGCAAGGAAGCTACACATATGAGCTCACAGTGCTTTGGACAGCATGTACACACCCTGGGCAAGACCAAGTCAGACCCTGTAAGGAGATGGAAGTGGGGCACACAATTCCACCTCTGGCTGTGAAGCTTTTGGAAATGATTAGCTGCTTCTGGAAGACAGAGAGACAGATTTCTATAAGATGTAGTCCTAAGGAAGCCAATCACTCCCCAGCAGGCCATACATTCAAGAATATTTGGATAGCATGAATTAGTCTTGTTAAGTTAAAAAAATAAAAGAAGACACAAATTGGGGTGGATCTGGGAAGTTAGAAGGGGAATGAACATGATCAAAACTCTTAAAAAAAAACTAATAAAAATTTTAACAATTTTTTTTTCTGGGGATATACTGTATAGCAAGTTTTTTTTTTTCAGGAAAGCACCAAGATTCTTATTGTCTCATCTCCCGAACTTTGAGAGCATTTCTGAGTGGGCACAGCTGGGTTTCAGCCCTTTTCATTCACTTCAGCCTAAGTACTCCTCAGCGTTCTACACCATGCACATGAAGTTTTATACTAAGGTAAGCCTCCAGAGCCTGAGAAATAGCCGCTGCTTAGTCAGCTGAGACATTCATGAAGGCATTTCTATGTTCCCTGTAATTACAATCACCTACCAAGAACACACACACACAGCTCTTAATACACCTGACAATGTCTTCACACTCTCCTCCCTCCCCTCCCACCAAAAAGAGTCACTAATAGTTGTGGATGACCTTTTAATCAATGCTTCCTGACACGTTACACTAGGTATGTTTTCAGTGCAAATATATGAAACAGTCACCCACTGACAAAGGCACATAACAATTTGCTGTATAACATCTAGAAAGGAAAATCTAATAATAAAAAACTGGGAAAGGTAAATGCCATTAATTCTGTTGTAGAGACAAATTTTCCTTTTTGCAAATTCATCCATCACTTCCAGCCTGGCATATTATGTATACCTAAATTTTAAACTTGGACTTTTATGATTTTGAATAGCTGAGTTACAGTCAAAGGAAGAAACAATAAGCAAGGGAAAAAATTTCCAACAGAAATCTACAAAAAGCTTCTTTTTCATTTATTATGAAGTAGATTAAGGGTATTGAGAAGTCATTTACTTTTTTCACACATTATTTTGATAAAAAGCTACCTGTCCTGGTCTCTGTAGCTAACCCTTTTGCCAATGAGAAAGTGGATTTAATCTGGTTCTATTTTCACTCTGACAAGATATTTTACCACTTTATATTAAACAGCCTTAGAGAACATCTATGCCTTAACCTAAAATAATTATATTTAAACACAGTTTCCTGTCCTGTAGCTCAAACAACTGGGAATCATAAGCTGGTGAGACACTGCTGATATTAAAGGGGGCAACAGAAGATTCTGCTAGTCAAAGAGGGAAAGAGGGATGTAGAAATTCACTATTTTTTTAAACTTTCTTCTGAATTTGTCATGCTTAATGGTTATCCCTTTCTCATCAATTAAACTTTCCATTAAAGTTATCCTTTCTTAGAAGTTCCTCTTCCAATTATTTTCTTTTATGTTGTTGTTGTTGTTTTTTCCAAGTCCCTTTAGAGACTTAGACTAAGAAGAGGCAAGTGGTGAAGTCAGACAATAGTGCCTGTGTTTTCAATATAAAATGTTAATGAGATGGTTCAAAAGAGAAGTTTGCATTCAGGAAGGAGGTAAAAAGTCACGCCATGTTTACTGAAGGTGAGGGGGATCCTAAGAGTTCTAGCAAATGGAAACATCGTAAAATCAATTTAATTATATGGATAGATACCTTGTTCCACAGAAGCAAATGAGATAACCCATTTTAAGGGTGTTTCACAGACTATTTCATACTAGGAAAGCATCCCCTTGTATATAATAAAAATGCATGTATATGTTTGATATAAAATATATTTTTTTTATTTTGTACAATTCAAGTCTTGGCTTACCTTAACATAACTGTGCACACTGTGCCTATAGGCCTAACATTAGTGAATCCCATTACAAAACCAACATACAAATAGTTTCCCA